AAATATAATAAAAAATGCAAATGTTTCTGAGTCAATATGATTTATAGCTTGATGAAATAGTGTCTATAATTGCTCAAGCACAAAGTCACTTAGCGGGGCAATCAATAGAAAAATTATATAAATTAATTCAAGATGCTAGACGCATTCAGTAGTTGTTAAATGCCAAACGTGAATGTTTCCATTATGAACTTCAAAATAGAGGAATATTTTCAAAGATAGACTTTATCATTTGGAATAAGAACATACCAACTGTTTGATTGTGGGTGGCTTATATGTTAGAAAAATTTTGATCTTATCATTTATTTGGTTGGAGAATGATTGATTTCCTTCAAAAAGCTGGCATGTATGTTTCAATTGTAGAACCTATTCCTAAACCTAAAGATAATACAATATCATTATCTTAAATGGTGAAGGTGAGTTCTTCTATCATTAAAGCAAAGGAGATATCAGCAATAACTAATACTACTATTGTTAATCATGAGACTGCTGAATTTTTAGAAAACAAGTTGAAGAAGACTTTAGAAGAGATACGCTCTTTAGATCAGTATCATATTGCAGATTGTTATGAAATTTCACCTGAATTATTAACCGAAGAATTCATCTTAAAGTATGAAAATTATAATCATATAAAATGGTTCAGAGCTTATACGCAGTTACAAGATGCTGGTACTGACAATGAAACAGCTGTTGAGGCTATCACTTGTAAAGATTATAGAGAAGATAAACTTACAACTGCCATACGAGTTGAAAGACATCGAATTTATCTGGAATTACTAAGGAATTATATACCAGCTAGAGACATCAATGATAGGGAAAGACATAAAACTGATGATATCAAAAGGTGTTTGAATACTTCTGAATTAATATCATTTTTTCAGGATTTGATTTCTAAAATGGCTCGAGTTTTTGATAATACAGATATATTATGCAGAGCCAAAAAATCAGGATTAAAAACAGATCAGGTAAAACTTGATTTACTGAATTCAGTATTACACACAGCTTATGGATTGAAGCTCAAAGCAATAGATAAAAATCATAGACATTATCATCTAGTTAGATTTTTTGATAGAAAAATGCTTCTGAATTACCTTCATACCAAACAGAAGAAAAAATTTATTGGAAAAATAGTGAAGATACTCAGTATGGGTATAGTAAACTTTCACCTGATGAATTATTAATAGAAAATCTTTTAGAGAAAAAACAAACCAAAGATACTTCCAGTTCTAATGTGAATACTATATCAATTATGAAAGATATTCAAAACTTATTTGATATCGCGTAGGTGGATCTGTTGTAAAAGCAATGTGAATACATACTTTGAGATGAAGGCTTCTGTCAATATTTATATAATAGATTTTACAGAAGCCTTCATATTTTTTGCTTTCTCTACTCACTTCTTGGCAGATAATTCAGATGTTTTTACAGGTTGAAAGACCTCAGCTCCATACTTCTGCCTCATCTGATAATTTAGCAAATGAAATCTACCTGAATGATCAGGACAACATCCCATAGTAGAATCTGTAAGTTTATTATAACTACTAACAAGGTAGGGTTTTCTTTCCATATTTTTTTTATACAATGTGTGATGTTTTGTATAGCTAGTAGTAGAAGTGCAGACTCTTTCGCAAATAGTACTGTCTCTTTTAATATATGGATAAGTAATACAATCCATATAAGTATTTTAGAATATAAAACCCTTTCACTTTTATTGCAGATTAATTTTATAATAAATGTGTATTTAAATTATTCAGTAGTAAAATAAGACATAAACACCTTATTATACTTACATTATAGACATAATGCAAAGAATGATACTCAATATACTAATTGACCAATGGGTCGACCTAAATGGAAAGTTATTCCAGAAGTTGATCCCCCTATAAATAATTAGTATAAGGAAAGTATATGGAAATAATACGTTTAATAAACATATAAAAAACGTAGACAAACAG